AAACCTCTTCATCACCAGCGGAGCTTTAACGTTCAACTCCACCCATAATTGCTCTCGCGTGTGTTTTGTTTCATATTTCCAAAACCTTACCATGTCATGTTGTGTCCGCAGCACAGATAAATTACTAAAGCTTGTAAATATAATTATGACATGGACTTATTGTGCTGACGGAGCAGCAGTGATATTTCATCAGGGGGTTTTAGTGGGTTTCACATCTATAAACCTCCAACAAACTTAATTGGCGAAACTACGTGCCCCATTCAAGCTGCAGCAGCAGTGACTTGGGATTGTTATGAAGGGTTGTCGTGGTGCGCTCTGTAATTAAGGATCTTTAATAAAGAGAGGGAAGAGATGTACCTGCTGCACTCTGCTTCTGATGGACAACTTCACATCTCCTGTTTTAGCCAGCAAACAAAAGGGTGGGGGTCTTTATGACGTTACGGCGAGTCGTTAATGACAGCAGCTGTCTGTAGGTTCAGGTCAGCTCCATTTTCATCTGCAAACTCTTCCCTGGTTTGCAGCTTTGTCTAGAATAGTTGCCTGTGGGTTTTTCTGATCACACAGATGCACCAGCTGTGTAGGCTTGGCTAGTGTAAGCATTATAGTGTTAAACTGCAACGTTGCACACCAATCCCAACCCCTTTCCCCATTCATACATACCTCCACATGGTAACACAGTTCTATACGTCAGCACACTTTGGATAAAGGTAGATTGAGTGGGAATCGGTCACAAATAGATCAGAAATATGTTTATAAGTGTATGTTGTAGGAGATGTACAGAGGTGGTGGGAGGAGAGTGGCTAAAGCACTTGACTCACCTCGTGCCTTTAAAGGTTGCATAATGAGGTCCTCTTCTTTCGCATGTCTCCTTTTTTTCTGAACCGAGTTAGACTGCACAGCCCACACACACTGCAGGTGCTGTAAATGTGTTTGTGTCATCTCCCACTCAAGGGGTTATTTTGGAATGCAGTGGGTGGAGTTCAGGTGCTACATCTTAAGGCTAAAGTACACCTTTTACCAACAGCCTCAGCCTGCTAATGACGGGAGCTGCTCACGGCTTCCCGTCTAGTCATTTCTACTTTGGGTGGTGCATCAGCCTCATGTGGAAGAATAAAAGAAAATATTGATCATTTGTGTTTTTGAAAAATTTCCCAACCTGATGAATTCACAGCAGCAAACGTGGAGCTCGTGTGTTGCTCTTGACTTTTTTTCGTCTGAGCCTTTGTTCCTACTCCTGTGTCCATGGTGCTTCACACAAACACAACGCTGCTTCATGACTCACTGGTCTGTTGTGCCTACATGCTCATGGCTGGAGTAGGCACATATTAAATTATTTTTTATCGTTTATGAATCTTCCCCTGCCACTGCAGCACTAGCACTGCCTGAATACACATGATTTAGCTCTACTTGTAATTTTGGCCTGAGTGCACCAATAAGCTCGTGAGTCACCCTCGCAGACAGAGATGGGAGCAGGAAGAGAGAGAATGGCTTTAGATTGCATGAGGGTCCAGATGTGTCATTGAGAAGCAAGGCGGGTTTCCTTTGGATATAGAGAAATAAAGATGTCTGGAGAGTAATGCAGATTGATTTCTGTCATCAACTAGCTTTTCTGTCTTGTTCTTTCATACGAAGGAGTCGGTTTTAAGGGCTACATGATTCATTCACATCCAGAGTAAAAGCTGTGTCCATCTCAATTCTAGTGCAGGTTATCGGCTAACCAGACTTCCCGTTGCCTCTGATCCTGTTTGTGGTGTGTAAAGACGGAATCTCCTGTTTATTAGTAAAGTGTCTGGTTTGGAAAACTCGGTTGATGCTTCCTGGCCTGGGAATAGGGATTCTAAGTCTCCTCCCTTCCAGGGGCTCATGGGTCCCCGGAAGAATGAAAAGATTAATGCAGGTAGGGCTGCACAATAAATTGCAAATATGTTGTTATCGCGATATCAACATGCACGATATGCATATCGCAAAGAAGAGATAAATATCCCAATAATATTCAGCTCATATGTTTGCTACACATAATGCATTCTGTCAATCAAACAGAAGCATTATGATTTTTAACAAATCAAATAGAGCTCTTCACCCATTAGGCCAATTGGGTGGGTTCTCATTGGTTAGATGCCCGCCCCGAAGGTTGACGGGACTTAATTTTGATGGTTAGCAAACACCTGAGTTGGCTCTGTTCTGCTGATTCTGCTTTTCCCGGGACCCTCTGGTTGCCTTTTCTTCATTTTCTTTTTCCCTTTCCTCACATCTTTTGCTTTTGTCATTTTTATGAGTTATTTTTGGTAATTTTTTTCATTTCTTTGTTTTTGATTATTTTTGTTTCTGAGTAATATCGTCATCGCAATATTGATCATTGTTGACGCATATCTCAGGTTTTCCTAATATCGTGCAGCCCTAAATGCAAGTGAGCTAAAGAGCTATTTTCTAATCCGCTTTGCCTTACGCCCTGAATCACACATATGCTGTACTTTAATTTAAATAAAAAGTAATGTGTGTTTTGACCACGCCAGTCACCTACTTTGAGATTTATCAGCTTGTAAAAATGTGTAATTATTATGACTCCAGATCAGATGTCGGCATGCCGCAAATATGACATCACCACAGAATCTCTTCTGCCCTAGTGTAGCTGCTACTCACCACATGGACTTATTCATGGTGGTTCTTTCTCTCCTAGACAAAGGATTCAAAGTTTGCTGAACTTGCAGCCATCTTTCCTCTGCTTTTCTCCGTGTCTGGTTCAATGACGACGAGGGGCATTTGTAGTCCTGGACATATTTTCACACAGAACCTATATACATTTTTGCCCCCGTTTGGAAAATACTTGCTTTCTTGGTACATAATGTCTTTAAAATTCACGGACATCATATGTGAAATCCACGACACAAAACAAACAGGATCAGAAAATAGCTTTTAGCTCCATTGACTTGGATTTTTATTTATTTATTTATTTTTTGTTCTTCTGGGGACCCATGGACCTAAACCATGGGATTCCTTAGGCTGAACACAGAGGGAGGTCTACGACAGTGATCCCTAACTACCTTCCCCGAGGGCCGGTATCCAGCATGATTTACTGCTTTCCCTGCTTCAACACCTGATTTTCATAAGCAGGTGATCAGCAGGCTTATGCATAGCGGGATGAGCTCCTGAACAGGTGAATCAACTGTGTAGGATTAGTGGAATGACTAAAACATGCTGGATACCGGCCCTCGGGGAAGAGTTAGGAATCACTGGTCTACGATGACTTCAGAATTACCCAGAAGACACAACCATGAATCATCCGTGGGGATGGATGGGTGTGTTTTTGTTTGGCCTTTGTTGGTTGAGATGTACTGTCCGTACTTTTTTTACAACATTTCCCTTGCAGTGAATCAAAGGAGATACAGGCAGACTTTCTGTACATGATCAAATGTTAAATTTCATGAGGTTTTTTTGTATCATAACAGTAACACAATGCTATTTCTTTAAGGTCATGCTTTGCCCATTTTCTGATCTGTGTCCATTAGGAAACACAAAAAGCCAAGCAGTTCCTGCCCTTCCTGCAGAGGGCCGGTCGATCAGAAGCTGTTGTAGAATACGTCTTCAGCGGCTCACGTCTCAAGCTGTACATGCCCAAAGAAACCTGCCTCATCACATTCCTGCTCGCTGGTAGGCTCAGTTGATCTCAATGTCCTTTTAACTTTGTGCCATCTAAGTAAATCCTGATCTGGTTAGGCATTTGTTTCTTTAGTGCTAAAGTTAATTCATCATATCACTTCTCTCATAGTGAGAGTTCCACTGAGGTTTTCATCTACCTAACTATAGCAGGCAGTCTGTGTCAGAGTGGGAATCGTCAACTCAGGAGTTGAAGCTGCTTCCACTCTAAGGACAGCATGAAAACACTCCTGAGTGCTTCTCTACCAAAGTTTTAAACATCAAATGAAAGTGGTTGTTTTGTTTGGGTAAAAAAGTAAAGCTCTAGAAAATAAGTGGGTATTATTGGCTGAACTTTGTCTATTTTTTATTGCTGAAGAACAAACCCAGTTTTTTTTTTTGTTCTGGTCTTTTTCTCTTCCTCTTCATTTCTGAGAAGGTCAAGTTGTGGAATCGTGATGGTCTCAGAATATCAAGCTTTACCTTTTGGCATTCAACAGTCAGTTTATTCCCCCTCGTTGCAGTTTGTTATTGCTCGTTCTTTAGCTCATAAGCAGCTGCACAGAAGACGCGTCACGAACTAAAGAGACAGCGAGCTGAGGGTGGTTGATCGATTTTGCCACAAACAGGAAATTCCATACAATATGTTGGATTTATTTAGCAGATGCTTCCACCCAAAGTCGCTACAGACAGAGGGCAATGTGGGGTCAGGAACTTGCCAGAGGCATCATTGCCATATAAACTAGAGGTGTGTGTGTGTGTGTGTGTGTGTGTGTGTGTGTGTGTGTGTGTGTGTGTGTGTGTGTGCGTGTGCGTGTGCGTGTGTGTGTGTAAACCAATAACATTTGACCAAAATGTGATCCCATCTCCTGTGCTAGATGCATTTGCAACAGTTTAAACCCATATATCCAATCATTTAGCCATTATTTAATTAAACTCTGTATTAAAAAGCAATTCCACAATAAATATTTAAATTTAACAATGGGTATTATGACTCAGTTCCCAGACATCCAAACAAAACCATAAATATCTTTTAGAAGTGAAGTGAGATAATTTATATCAACATTTAGTCTTTGGTGTCTAAGGTGGCTGTCATTGAAAATGTGCAGTGTTGGTCTGTTGAGCGGCAGAACGACTCCTGATTAGTCCTCATTTTGATCAACGCTGGGTCAAATTTATGAAGGAGAATTCCACTGAGAAGTTTAGTTTATGCTGCCTGATGCTCTTTTAGGGTTTAACCTCAGGTTCATTTGCTGAACTTCAGAGAACCTGGACCACAGAGCCTGTTTGGAGTGTTTTTGTTTTTAATAATAAAAACGGTCTACCAACAAATCCATGTGCAATTTCAAGCATTAGAAAAATCTGGCATAAAACTCCAGATTAATATTAGGATCAATCAGTATATCAGACCAATATTGACCATTTATATATCAGCCTTGGCTGATGTACGCCTTTGGTAGAGCCGATTGTAAAAGCCAGGCTGCTGTGGATTTTTGTTTAAGTTCAAGACTCTGCGGTCCACTTACACCTCAAGGACAAAGGGCACACTTTTGAAGATGAAAATGTGCACATCCTGGACAGAGAAGATGGATGGTTCGAGAAAGAAGTAAAGGAAGCCATCTATGTCAAATGGGAAAGTCCTATATTAATAGAGGAGGCCTGAGTTAAACTTTTCCAGCACCTACAACGCAGCTCTAAACCTAATTTCTAAACCTTTTCAGTCCACATTTGAAGTAGAACTGATGACCCCCGTAGCTCAGGAGGTAGAGCGTTTCTAGAACTATAGAAGGTGCTATCTAATGCTAGCCATTCATCATAGATCACACCCTCCTGCATCTAATCAAAGAAACCAGGCCTATATCATAGGACCTAAGGATATCCACTTCTCATGGGGTAAGGAGGAGGAACATTCATAGGTAGTTTCAGCTTGTTGAGCAACAACAGACAGCTACAGCTAATTGACAATGCCCCTTGGATGAGAAGCAAAAAGTCTTCAATAAAACTTTTCTGTATATGCGTTCTGCTGATGGTGTTAAACAGCTGTTCGTGGTGTCTCTTTCGTTTACGTGCGGGCAGCACTAGCGGCTCTGACGAAGGTGGAAGTTCCGGACGAAACATGGTTGATGAAGGTAAAGGAGCATCTAATTACGTCACCGTGTTAAATAAGAAAAAGAAGATAAGTCTTCAATAAACCAAAGTACCAGCAACCTCAGTGGTCTAGTGGTAGAGTGTCTGCCCTGGGACTGGGAGTTCGGGGTTCAAAAACCACCAAATGGTTCCCGAGCGCAGCCACTGCTGCAGCTCACTGCTTCCTACGGACATGGGTCAAATGCAGAGATGAATTTCACCAGTGTGTGATGACGAATGGGAATTTAACTTTAAGAAGTCAAGCTGTCTTTATCTGAACCCCTTTGGATTCTAAAAAGAAACTTAGAGGAGGCTGCATCCTGTTCCAAACTCTCCAGAACTTAATTTATATTTTAATAATGAAATATAACAATATTGATTAAAGAAAATTATCTTCAATTTTACCTAAAGAAAGGGGGAAAAAAACTGCATTTAAATTTTTTAATTAACCATTTTTCAGTGAGAAAACTATTTACAAACCATCCTAAATTAACGAAAACTAAAAAAGCGTTGCAGGGTGATGGTCCTTTATATTGCATTGAGAAATGTTTTTCAGTCCGTTTCTGTTTTGCTCACACATTTTTCTGCCATACATATTCTCATCATTACCAAGAAATCTGATCTATATTTCTGAGAAGCACTCAGATTCTGTTTAATTATGCATGCTTGAATCATTGATGGATGAAGTAATTTTCTGGATTTTTTTTCTTCTCGTGGTTGTTTTTGCAACCCACTGGAGGTTTTGTAATTGCTTTTTTAATGCTGTTAACATGTTTCCCAGCCAATGGGGTTCCACACGCACACACAAGCTCACTTTTGCTGTAAAATTTCTCTGCAGTAAAGACCCAAACACTTTTTTTATAATGCAAAACTCGATTGAACATTTGGTTTAAGCAGTAGGATGCGAGAGACATGATATCTCCATAGTCTATTTTTATCATAAATTAATTCAGAGGTTATTAGCAAATTGCAACAGCCACATTAGTGCAGAGTGAATTAAATCAAGGTTCGTGAAAAGAGATCGGTCTGCAGAAAAGGAAGTGACCCGTGATGTCTTTAATGCAAACATTAGTCTAGGTTTGCAATCACTGAAACCAAAGGCACCTTATAGTTTTTAATAACATTTGTTATTCAAGTCTGTTGCATCAGCTAACAAGCTCTCTCTTTGTTTGTCGCAATGGGGATGTCTTCTTTTCAAAAATAAAATCTCATATGTGAGATGAAACAGTAAGTTTGCTGGGCTGTGACCTCCATTTTTCTATATTTTGGCTGTTTCCATGATTTCCTAACTGTCACACCCTTCACACTCCAGATGAAATGAAGCCCTTAGGCCTAAAGACCCCCCATCTATCTGCTTCTAATCTCCCAGCACTCACTATCTCCTGCTACTTTCGTTTTCCTGTCAAAGTTATCTTTTCATGTTTTGTTCGCCCATCTGCACCAGGGGCCGTGTGCAAAATGACACATGCGATAAATCGGCTGCCCCAAGACTGTTGTATTTATCTGTGTATGAAAGGACCCAAGCCCTCTGGACCTTTTCACTTTTAAGCTATTGCATATTTCTGACAGGAAATAAGACTTGTCTTGTTTCTGATATGTTGTAGATTTCAAATGTAGGTTTGCCAGAAATGTATAGAATTCTTGATGCAGATTTTATGAAGAACAGGACGTCAATGATGTGATGTTTAAAGTTTTTGCAGTTGAAACGTCATTTACTCTTCAATTTAACTTGCATTGTAAAGGCACAATGTATTTCTATTATAGGTTTTAATGATTACAAAGTAAATTTCACTATTGACTTGCCATAAAAACTGTAATTTGGGATTGTGCTATTTACAGTGATGCAGTAGAGATTAAATCTGTAACAACTGTATTTAATAATCCATTAAAGTGGTGAGGAAGCTCATTTTAAAATGGCCTAACCATCTGCACAACATGGGTAAGGAGAGTCGATGTGATGAGTGGGACTGCTCTGACAAAGTCCTCTGCATCCACTTGGAGCTATTAATGTAAAGCTGGCCAACATTTTAGCCTCCTGGCTTTCTTTTTCATTTATTTATTTATTTATTTTTGCGTGTGTGTGTGTGTGTGTGTGTGTGTCCTGCTTGTCAAATTTCTTTTGTCATCATAAAAAGCTGGGGGCATCATGTGTTGGTCCTGCAGACTATAAATGGCCGGTTTGCCTGCTGGCCTTTAATTATAATACAAGTGCTGAAATTCAGATTAAATTGCTCAGAATGGTGAGGAGTTCACTGAATGACAAAATAAAATTATGATTACCACTTAATAAGAAAACACTAGTAATTGGTTTAGTTTGTAAGTGTTTTCATTTAAAGAAAACCCACAATATCTCCTTAAACTGTGTCAAATATTTTCATCATACTCAATGTTCATACAATTTCATTCATAACTTCTTTTAAAAGGGTTTTGTAAAAACCTTTTTTACAACATTAAACTGTTGTTTGAGCCTCTGTATAGCAAATGAAACCTTGTTGGGGTTCACATTGGCCCTGGTACCCTGAAAAATGGTCAAACATGAGAAAGACAAGTTAAGTACATAAATATTGATGAGCTATGTGCTGATTGGCTGGTTTACCCCAGTGACTCTATGGCACTGCCTAAAGCTGTAAACTGTACAGTATCTGGATAATTCGTTAGGCAAGTTGTGAACCCATCTGGCATTCACTCAAAGTCTGAAAATTCCTAGTTCATCCAGGAACTTTACGTGTATGCTCTGTAGTGCTTGGTGATATGACCACAAATTGTTATCGTGGTGTATTGAGTTCACCGCAATGACAAAAAATGGACTATTACTGTTTGCATGTGCAAGAAGAAAGGTTGTCCACTAGATATAACTGTGGCGGCATCATTTCTCCACAGGAAGTTTT